GAATTTCGAGGGCTACAATTTGTAATTAGCACTTTGTATGATATGCGTCAGGTCATGAACAATTTTCTATAAACAAAAGGAAAAAAGTACTTTTTTCTATTTTCCTATTTTTGTTGATTGTAAGGGTCAAAACCAGATATAATGAGAAAATTCTCGAAACATCTTTATCACCTATAACAATCGCAAGAATTATTAAAGCCAAAATAATAGGCGTAATATGGTTAAAAAATTTAAACTTCTATAAGAAGCTAAACAATACGTGTTTTTGTCATTTGTACGAAGTACTCCGGGTATATTGCTTTAATGTGTACACTTTAATTACGATTTTCAACATAAACAATTTTATCCCCGCGGTACATTTTTGCCTATCTTATTCCGCGACCCCCTTTATTGATACGTAAGACTATAAAACAAACAGCAATGGAGATTCATTACTTTGGAAATAAGCTCTTTCATTTGCACCTGCACCTCTGACCGGGAGGCCTAGTGTTAAGAGTCCTGACGGTGGCAGGATTTTCGATCCTAGCACGAGAGCTAGGATCTCTGATCACCACGAGGCGCATTCCGGAGCAGGGCCTAAACAAACGCGCGACGGACGGCGCATGGCCTTTTCTTCCTCTTCCTCGTCTTAGCGTGCACTTCCACTCGCATGCGCTACACTGCTACACTTGGGAGAGCAGTCGGAGCTTAGAGCTCGCGACTTTGCGGCAGCTCACCTGGATGCAGCCGGCTTTGCCAGTGCTCTCCATGCGGCTGGCGACGTTCACCGAGTTGCCCCAGATGTCGTAGTGCGGCTTGCGAGCGCCGATCACCCCCGCGGTGATGGGGCCGTGGTTGATGCCTGCGCACACACCATGAAGTGTAACTCACCTAATCACCACTCGGTTCATTTTAAAGAAAAAAAATGTATTAACGAGTTGTGAAAATAGAAGGCAATTGATAACAGGGTGAATAAATAAATAATTTATATACTATTGGGAAAAGGTAATTTTTCATTGTTACACGGTTTGCAAACATGGGCTATCAATGTCATTAACGTTAGCCTCCTAAAAAGGAAAGAAAAAAATAAACATTACCCTAACAAATTGAAAAAAAATGAAAACCAAATGACTACTAAAAATGAATGACAGTGAACCTAAAGATTCCCGCCATTCTAAATTTTCAAGTAGGTCTCTCGGACATCTCGACCTCCAGACTTAGAATTCGGTTCCCTCTGCACCCCTTTCTCACACTTTATGGTCGAAGTCATTTAATCATTTGGAGGCGCTCTATAGTGTTATCCTATCGATAGTAAACTGTGCTAATGGTGTCTTTCTGCGCAGTGTGGTATTATGTAGTTGGTGTTCTTCAACTAACATCTGAAAGAGTCAAATGGCTGATTGATGTAAAACGAAGCTTTCAAAGCTTTTTGTGCTAAAACATTAACGCTCAAATCACGCTAGGCTTTTGAAATAGCGCTCGACAGGCCACGTCATGCGACTGACTCACCCCGTTAGGCTCATCGAATGAGCGTTTAGGCCACGAGCAGAAGGGGCTGGACAGGCCTTTTGGCAGCCAGCGATCCTCTGGCGCAGATCATTTACAAATCCACAACAATAAATGAGCATTCAAAATGCAATTTTTGACCAAATGCATACGTCAATTAAAAAGTAATTACACAAGTGACAATTTCAAAGTTTTTTTTTAAGTGTTAATTAGAGTTAACTAGTGGAGTTAATGTGAAATGTTAAAATTTGAAAGTGTTAACTCAGAAGAAACTCAATTTCGAAATTTGCAAAAAATTAAGTACTATTCATTTACGAAAGGATTAAATGCACACTTTATTAAAATTGAGAATAGTACTTGCGTGAGTCCTCGATCTCGAATCTGAAGAATTCTTCCACTGTAACCGGCCTTGCAGCCAGAAGCCCTTGCCAATGGTCATATGAATGTTATATCTGACTCCATTTTTGATGAGAAGGCATGGAAGGAAAATGTTGTCCAGACATTATTTTAAATTTCCGGAATTGTCTTGAGGAAGTATTGGTGGAGGGTCTCGTTGCGAGAGTGTTCTGCTTGCCCCCTTTCCCTGCTGTGGAGGAGTCTCGGAAAGCCTTTCCGGAAATTCGTGATCACACTTTCACCTTAATCCTAGTGTGTGGATTCCATCCCATCTGTTTTCAAGCTTTGCTGAATGTTATGTGATATCCTATACATTGTTTACTTCGTATCTTTAGAGAATTACGTCAAAATATATTATGTAAGTTATATAGAATATTTTAGCACATTTTGAAGATATAAACATGAAAAAACGGAGAAGAAAACTGAAGAAATCACAATATTTCGGCTTAACTGCTTTGTACATCTTGAGTGCTGCCAGCTTGCCGTCGCCTGTCATCTTGACTGAACCAGTCATAGGTTGCCCTAGTAAAAACACTCGCAGACAGGCAAATTCCTCAGGGCTAAAGCGCTCTCCGCAACCGAAGACAAAATGCCACAATGCGGGAAGATTAAAATCTGTGATATGAATGGGTGAGCGATGTGTAATATTTTTTTGCAAGGGATTGGAGGAGAAATCAAAAACAAGACACTATCATCTGAGAAACTCCCTCTGAGATTGGGGATATATTTGTGGTAAGCGAAGTTATGTTAGATGATTGTCTTCTGCGAGGCGAGAGCCAACTGTTCTACCTCGACCTGGCAAGAGTGAAAGGACCGCCTGTCTCTTCTTTCGCGATGTTTAGAGAGATGTACACGACACCAGTCGCTCTCTGGCGGGGGCGGACTGTCGGTGACTTAGCTGACCTCGTGAAAACATTCTCAAAATATTTTCGCAATGCGACCCGAATTCTGAGGAGCTCTTGAAATTACAGGTTTCTTTCAGAAACAACGCAAATTAGTTTTTTGCTATATTGACTCGTTAGTGCAATCGCATTCTTTGTGATTCACAATTTTGGAGTGTGTTGGGCACAAAACTTGCCAGAGTGCTTGGAAGAGCCAAGAATATTTCTGAGAACTATCGAAGAAAAAACGTATACTTTTGAGACACAAACGATGAAAAACAAAAGATAAACGTGTAAATTGGCGGAATTGGAGTGCAGCTTACGAGACGTATTTCACCCGGTTTTAGACCGCCAGAATCATTGCCCACCAGTCGATCGTCGGAATGGCACTGCACAAAACGACCTTCAGTAATGTAACTCTTAAAGTCTTGGAAATGCGCATGAAGTCGCTGTGATATATATATATATATATACATATATATATACATATATATATATGTATATATATGTGTATATATATGTATATATATGTGTATATATATGTATAT